TTGACGTATAGCAGATTAAACGAGGCTTCCTTGGGCTCCGGGCGCGGGGTGTACGGCTTCGTCCCGGCTAACCCACGCTCCTTGCAGAAAAAAAATCTCTGCGGCCAACTGGCAGCTCCGCTCTTGAGTCATCTGCGCCGATTTACTGCACGGGGGGCTTGGAAGGCTGGGAAGAAGTCGCCGGCTGCGGTCGGCGGGACGCGGGTCTTGCTCTTGGCGGGGCAAAGCTGAAACGGGTTCGCGGCCGGGCGGCCCCGGGGTGAGACGCGTTGCCGGTGGACGGGAACCGGGGTGTAGGGGTGAGGAAATACCCGGGGTACCGCCGCGGTGGTGGGTGCTGTGCGGTCGTTGGACTGCAATGCTCCGGCAAGGTGAAGCGCTCTCGCCTGCGTGTTGGAGAGCTGCTCTGGAGGCCACGGAGGGCATGGGAACTGGAGCAAGGATTAATTAACTTCCACTCTCATCCGGGGGCCGTTCGCGGCAGCATCTGCCCGGGGCCACGCTACCTCTCCTGGGGCGATGACAAGCTCAGGAAGGTGCCAGCAGGTCTGAAGTCAGTTTGGGAAGCAGATGGTGGGATTTTGGACCTCAGACTGCTCCAGCCCCAGCTAGAGATAGACATTAAAGAAGTTCGGGAAACCAGGGCCAGTTGAAATGGTCTTGAGTTGGGGGCCTTAATGCATCTTTTTCCAAAACCCATGTCTAGGATAAGAGCATTTGCGCGTGCACCGAAAGTGTCATGAAGCCCATGGCCGGCCTGGTGGTGCTCGGCCTCTCTTGAGTATCGTTACTTCCACGGTCTTCAATTTCCCTTTCTTTTTCTTTCCTTCCTCTCGTCCTTTAGATTCCCAAGTTCTTCAGGAGCCGGGGGATCGGTCACACTGGTGCGTGGTGGCATACTGGGAAGAGAAAACGCGCGTGGGTCGGCTATATTCTGTCCAAGAGCCCTCCCTGGATATCTTCTATGATCTACCTCAGGGGAACGGTTTCTGCCTCGGCCAGCTCAATTCGGACAACAAGAGCCAGCTGGTGCAGAAAGTGCGCAGCAAAATCGGTTACGGTATCCAGCTCACCAAGGAAGTGGACGGCGTGTGGGTCTACAACCGCAGCAGTTACCCCATCTTCATCAAGTCGGCCACACTGGACAACCCCGACTCGAGGACGTTGCTGGTTCACAAAGTGTTTCCAGGTTTTTCCATCAAGGCGTTTGACTACGAGAAGGCGTACAGCTTGCAGAGGCCTAACGACCATGAGTTCATGCAGCAACCATGGACCGGATTTACTGTTCAGATCAGCTTTGTGAAAGGCTGGGGCCAGTGCTACACGAGACAGTTTATCAGCAGTTGCCCGTGCTGGTTGGAGGTTATTTTTAATAACCGATGACTCGAGACAGAGTGGACTCATGACATTTATACTACTTTGCTGCTATTATTTCCTTCTGAGTGCTTGCTTTTCATGCGAACTTTTTTGTTGTTTTTTTTTGTTTTGTTTTGTTTGTTTGTTTGTTTTTTTCCTGTTTTGAGAAATAGCTTATGGAAAGATTTTTGCCTTGGTATTTTGATAAATATATCTATTTTTTAAAAGCGTGAATGACCAATAACTCAGACGGGCAAGAGAAAGCGCGGGAAGGGGCCGGAGGGGTGCCGGGGTGAACGTGGCCGTGCGAAACCTTGCCGATCAGTTTTTTGCCCACCCTTTTCTTTCTTTCTTTTTCTTTTTTAAAGCGTCTGGCTTGTGGGGTTCACCCCTTGCCATGGCGCTGAGCTGCCAGTCCACCGTGGGAGCGCTGGAAGAAGTGATGCGCGTCCTTTCACTGCTTTTTTGTCGTGGATTGATACGAGGGGAGAAAAACGGCAGCGGAGGAAAACATGCATGGCCCGTGCTTTGCAATTTGAGCTGAGATGCAAAGTGACAGAAACATAAGCCTAAAAAACCCAAAAAACAAAAAAACAAAACAAAACAAAAACGGGAAAAAAATAAGAAAGTGTTCACGATAGTTGGTCTGTTGGAACCTGCTTAGATCAGGTTATCCCGGTACCATCGTATCTGGAAATGCAGTTGTGCTTTCATTTCTTCTTGAATTCATACACAAGTATGATACTTTTACACTGTTCTTAGCTCAATGAGCATGTTTAGACCTTAACATAAGCTATTTTTCTAAATATAAAGGTTTAAATGAACAAGAGAGCATTCTCATTGGAACTTTAGCATCGTAGTGCTTTGGAAATAAAACACACAAAAAAAGGACTCCTTAAAAAAACTCTGAGATTTATTAAAGAAAAAATGTATTTTATGTTATATATAAATATATTATTACTTTTAAATATAAATACGTTTTATAAGCATCATTATTTATGTATTGTGCAATGTGTATAAACGAGAAAAATAAGAAAGATGCACTTTGCTTTAATATAAATGCAAATAACAAATGCCAAATTAAAAAAAAAGAACACGAGATTGGTGTTTTTTTCTATGGGTGTTATCATCCAGATGAATGTTTTTTCTAAAGGAGTTTATGTTCCATTAAAAATAAAAATGTACACTTGATCCAAGGCTGTGCAGAGTGGCTTTTTCAGTGATTGAGGCGGGTAGAGACACTTACGCCTGCCTTAAGAGTCTGGTGAGGGGTTTAGCAGAGATGAGGTCTAGCAGAGACAGGGTCTAGCAGAGAGGGGTTCAAGCAGAGATGGGTTCTAGCAGGGAAGGTGTCTAGCAGAGAAGGGATCTAGGAGGGATGGGGTCTAGCAGAGACAGGGTCTAGCAAAGATGGTGTCTAGCAGAGATGAGTTCTTACAGAGATGGGGTCTAGGAGGGATGGGGGTCTAGCAGAGATGAGGTCTAACAGGAACGTTGTCTAGCAGAGATGGGTTCTGGCAGGGATGGGGTCTAGCAGAGATGGGGTCTAGCTAGAGTAAGATACTCCTAGGCATGTCATGCAGTCCTAGTGAGCCGCTCTCTTCAGCGGTGGCACCAAATGTGCCAGGTATTTTGTTCCTTATTGCCCAGCTCTGACTTTGTTTACTGCTAAGTGGTGTCTCCACTCCTATTTTAGTGGGACGAGGCTGGAGATGACGAGACGTGCTCAAAGTCACAAGGTTGGAGAGTTTCTCCCTCAAAGGGAGGGGAAACCTCAGTTGTTTTTTTTCAGCTGTTTCCTATCCTGTCCCTCTCCTCTCCCACACCATGAACGGGCTTTGGCTGGTCTGCTAGGTGCCACATCCCACTCTCACGTTGTCCATTACCAGCAAGAAGGTCCTCACAGCTGGTGGAACTCCTGCCCTTCATGGATGAGGACATTTCTCGAGAAGTAACCACTAGAGTCCTGGAGGTTTCTGACAGGTATGACATCCAGGTGGGCTTGTAGGCTTCCTCCCTGCCAAAGTGCCTCAACCCTGGGAATTTAAGTGCTACATTTTTGCCGTTCATTAGGTTTGATGAGCATAATGGTAGTTGAGGTTTTGCAAGCATCTAGACCAGTTTTGCTCCAGGCTGTGCCCTTCTGTCCAATGGAGAAGCACTGGAGGGATCGGTTGAAATACTAAAGAGTATTTGGTTTGTTCTGAATGGGCTGGGCCTTCAGTTGGAGTCATGTCATCCAGCCCATGAACCAGCTCCAGAATGGCTTTTGGTCATGTGCGGGGCTGGAACGGCAGGTTCAGTTGTGAGTCTCTTGCCTCTCATCCTTAGAGTGGGGGTCAGCATCAAAAACTGAGAGTCTGATATATCCTGATATAAGCCCATCCCATCATACTTGCTATGTACTAGAGTGATGCCTGAGAAGGCAGCTGTTGGAGCCTACGCTACAATTTGGCTCATTTCCTTTCCGTCTGTGCCAGGAGACTCGAAATATTTGATAAGCACATCACATCTTTTCCATGATCAAATGACCAAGCTAGCGCTGATGGTTTGCGTTAGAGGCTCAGAGAATAGCAAGCACTCTTGCCCAGGCCTTGGACACCCATGCAGGGAACATAACATCAAAGGCCCTGCAGATGAAGGATAAAGCATGCTATTGACCACTGACTCCACTGAGCTTTTGTAGAGTTTAACAGCTGGAACTGGGCTGCGCAGGCAGGCAGCATCTTGTCTTGGAAAGATCTCTCAAGTCTAGGAGCCATTGGACTTGATCCCCACAATAGGGCTGCAACTGGCTACAAGGCTGCATTTTACTCCAGAGTCACTAGGGGATAGGGAATATCAGGCTCACTCACATTTTTCCCTCCTGAGGTTCCCTGCTGTACCAGCAACTAGAGAAGGGTGGTCTACCTGGAGAAGAAGAGCTGATGGTTTTGTCCCTGATTTATGACACCAAAGCAGCACAGAGCTGCATGGGCACACCAGAGAGCTGGCAAAGGCTGTGCTTTAACAGAGGTTTTTTTTTTTTTTCTTCTTTTTTTTTTTAACTGATGTCTTCACTTTGTTAAGCAAGCTAGAGCATATTCTAGTGGGTGAAGCCTGGAGATTTTGATTCTTGTCCCCACTCATCTATCCGTGAGATATGACCCAAGCATTTAACCTTGCTGTTTCTCAGGGTTTCCACTCGTGAAAAGCAGAGGGTACCAACCGTAGCTCCTCCTGGGAGCTCTTTTATGAGTACCGCTCCTTGGAGAGAAAATGGTGCGAAGGAGAATTGAAGTATTATACCCCTAAATTAATACTCCTCACAGACGCTTTCTGAAGTAGACAGAGCAAACAGGAGACGGGACCCAGCAAAGCAAAGGCTGCCCAGGCCAGAGGCTGTATGGAGGTATCTCTGGGATGCTGCTGCTAGGATGGGGACATCCCCTGCAAGCCCTGTCTTCTGTTACTCTACACAGCTGCCTCTGCTCGTGGCTCCTGAGCTGGCTGGACCTTCAGTTTGCCATGCCTTGCCAGGCGGAGAGTTACAGCTTTCAGCCGCAGAGCCTCGTGGAGCACTGTATTTTATGGGAGCTTTATTTGCATTTGTCTGTCAAAATAAAAGGCCAAGCGGCCCTGCTTGCACTGGGAAAGCAGGGAAATAATGAGCAAAACTATGGCTTTTCGATACTAGGGCAGCGCTAACAAAATTATTCCTATCTTCACCTCCTGCTGAGATAATTTTAGCCCCCATTCAGTGAATAAAAAAAAGACAACCCACAGCAGAAGGATGCTTAGCACCAACTCTCTGTGTCCCCACTCCCTCAGTGCTTGCTCAGCCCAGGCACGGCTAGGATAGGAACTAGACTGAAGGTTAAAGTAGAGTCTGGAGGTTAAAGGAAGAAATTCTCCTTGGCTGGGGTTTGACAATGCCGTAAATCCATCATTAGGGCTCAGAAAAGCTGCAGCGGCGTGAAGCAAAGTGCTGACTTGGGGGAAACCCGCCCTGCCCGTTCCAGTTTGCTCCCGTTAACGCTCTGCTCCCTCCCCGTAGGCTCGAGCTGTTCATACCGCTCTCACTTCATGCGAGTCCCCCCACAGCTGGCGTAACGCCAGGCTAAAACACATATGCTTACATAAACTCCACTTCAAGCGCTGGAGGCAATTTGTCAGAAATGCAGTTATGTGGCCGCTCTTGATCTGGTCGAATTTGGATGATCCGGTAATGTGCAGATTAACAGGCAGAACCACAGCCCTGGACTGCCCTCAGAGAGAGGAGCAGGGGAGAAGGACAGAGCTGGCTTCTTCCCAGATGAAAACACTGGCATCCAGCCTCCAGGTCATTCCCGGTCAGTAAAGTGATGTCTTTTTTTGCTCCATGCCCATTCCTTTCCACAACACCCATCTTCTGGCACATCCCAAGGTCCGTTCCTTTACAATGATGGCGAGAGGCACTCAGAGCAAACCAGCCTGTGCCAGTCCCAAGTGACCTCCGGTAGTGTCCATCTCACGCTGCCCGTGGAGGGACCCACAGGTACCTGGCCTCCAATGTAAGGAGCTTTGTGGACCCCGCTGCAGAAGGGCCGTCCATGGGCATTTTCCAATAAAGCTGTGGTGGCACAGGGAGCCCATGCGTCATCGTGCTCTGTACAGCTTAGCTGGGCTTCCCACTATTTCCTCTTTGGAAACCACCTGAAAGCGCACTCCCTTAAGCAGCTCAGGCTTGAGCTGGTGGAGACAGGCTCAAGTCCTGCTTTCCCAGTGGATGGCTGTGTGTGTCTCCCTCCTCCCCACCTTCCAGAGGTATTCCTCTGGAAATCCGGGGTGTCTGAAATCACTCTTCTCCAGTTACCTGCAATCTTGCTTTGCAGCAAGGCTCCAGTGTAATCAGTACTAAATTTTCTGATGATATACTGCAACGCAGTAAATTACAGCACGACTGGACCTTTTTTCCAGTGTTATTCTGCTGAGCAGTAATTGAAGAGTGCAATAAAGAAGGGTCAAGCCATGTAACTTTTTTCTGATAAATCATATGTGAAATATGCTCAAAGAGTCAACTGCTGATAAAAGAGCGTCTGTAATAGCTGATACACTGCAAGGAACAGAGGTAAAATTTCCCCATCTCGAGATTATCAGAGCAAACAGTTTTCCATGGTGCAGAGACGTGATCCCAGTCTTACGTAGGTAACCCCAGTTCCCCATTCATCCCAACCCATCTGTTGTCTCTTGCCTTGCCAGTTCATTGCAAGTTTGTTAGGTAAATGAACCCTTTCGTTTTGCTCATGCAACTGTCAGGACAAAGCGGTGGGTCTGGACTGGCCGCTCGACACAATCTCAATTCAAAGAGTGAGTCCTTGGAAAAGTATATTTGCTTTACGCTAGTTGTACTTTGCGCTGAGTGTTTACCAGTGGAAAGTTGCAGCCAAGGAGCTTAACTCAGTCTAAAAACTGTAGCTCAAGTCAGGTCTGTGCACCTATGCACATTCTGCTTTGCAAGGGTTTCTGGAGATAAACTGGTGAAGAATTGGCTTAAGATGAACTGATAAAAGGGAAATAGCATTTGCTTTCTGCTCTCTGCATATGTTTAAAAATATGTCTTGGTTTGACAGGCACAGGCTTGAAGAGAAGTCATCAGGTCGGGGAGAGATGGTGGTTTAAGGGAAGAGATGATTGCAGAGGTGGAACTGCAGAAGAGAGTTAGTCATAGCAAGAAGTGACGTTCATAGGTGGTGGATGGAGCTACTGGTGGAGCATTTACTTGTACTGTAACAAACAGGGACTGGCGTGGTTTCCACAGCCCTTCTGAGCGAAGCACTGTAGATACCATGAAGAAACAGGCCTTGCCCCAAAAAGTCTATGCACAAGAAGTGACACAGGGTGCTCTGCCAAGCATGGCAATGAGGAGCCCCTGGCTACCTGCCTGAGCAATGCCCGCTGCCACAGTGGAGCTCAAGGGCCATCCCTAGGCTCTCCAGTGAGTCATTGTGTGACTTTCTGGGTGGCTTAAAGACAAAGCAAAACAAAAACCAAAACACTTGAGAGGCTCAGGTAACACTTGTGGTTGAAAGGGAAGTCACCGCTGTGTCAAGTTTACCAGTCAGGGTTGGTGATATCATCTTTGGTGGAAATCCCCGGGACATTTGCCTCTTCGTCATGCTGACTGGACCAGCATCACTGCCTGGCAAATTACTTTTGGTCACGAATGTGGC